GGGCAATCTAGATAAGCTTGACCGCTGAGCTGAAAGCAACAGAATGAGCTTCAATAGGGACAAGTGTCAAGTCCTCCACCTAGGAAAAGAAACCAAATGCACAGATACAAGATGGGAAATACATGGCTCAAGAGTACTGAAAAAGAAAAAAAAGATATATTGGAGTTATTGTGGGCAGCCGGCTACATATGAGCCAACAAAGCAATGTAGTCCCAAAAAGAACAAAATAATATTTTAGGATGCATTAGCAGAAGTATCACATCCAAATCATGAGAAGAAATACTTTATGCTCATCAGATCTTATCTGGAATACTTTGTCCAGTTCTGGGCACCAAAATTTAAGAAAGATGCAGAAAAATTGGAAAGAATTTTGTTGGGGGAGCGCAACAAAAATGATTCAGGGTTTGGAAACACTGCTCTGTGAGGAGAGACTGAGAGAACTGGGCATGTTCAGCCTTGAGAACAGAAGGTGGGGGTGCGTATGTGATATCATAGAGTGATATGTAAAAGGCTGCCACAAAGAGAAAGGACAAGAACTCTTATTGCGACTACCATAGTGTAGGACGTGGAATATCAAGTTGTGACAAACCAAATTCAGGTGAAATAACAGGAAAAATTTTCTCACTGTCAGAGCAATACAACAGAGGAACCAACTGCATAGAGAATTTGTGGGCTCTCCTACACTAGGGACATTCAAGAAGAAACTGGACAGCCATCTGAGAGGGATGATGTAAACTGGTAACCTGCAACAACAGGGGGTTGGACCTGATGGCCTTCTTGGCCCCTGCCAACACTGTTATTCTGTAATGCTAAGAGTTGGTTACTGGAAGCAAGAGATTTAACCTAAAATATACAGGTAACGATTTACTTTGGCCCCACCCAACAATGGCATATCGCCCCCAAAAGCTTTTATAGAACGTAATTTGACCCTTGAACAGTATCTAGAACTACTTATCTCAGTCATGTATACTGCTGAGAAGGAAAAAAAGAAATAAATTTCCATTTTGACTATGAACATGTTAGTAGATAAAAGACAGGTAGTGATTTGCATATAGAAATTACAAACAGGCATGATTCATAGTATAGAGCAGCTAATTCTGAGTTTTGTCAGCAATGACTGACTAGAAGAAGGAAAGAATTACCAGTCAGAGATCCTGGGAAAGATAGCACATGAAGATGAAAATGAAGCACTGAAAACAGTAGAGCAAGGCAAAGAGAACCGAACAATCAATGCTATCAAAAGCTGAAGGAAAATCCAGTAAAAATCAAGTAAAAGGAGAAGAGATTAATCATGTAATTTAGCAACTAAGAATTCAGTGAAAGTGTAAATTCAAGAAGAATCAGTACAGTGCAAAAAAAAAAAAAACCCAAAAACCCCTAAATTGAAAGGAAGCTAGCAAAAAGACTAGGAAGAAGAAATGTACTGGCATTCTGTGTCTATTTATATGCATATATATTGAATACAGATTAGTGGTGGATTATTTTCTTCCCACTTTGATGTTTTTGTTTGAATAAACTGCTGTGGGGTGTGTGGATATTTCCTGGAAAAGTCCATAATTGAATGAATGTTTGCCTTTCTTACCCTCCAACCCTGCTTCTTGCCACATACTTTCACTGATGATATTTTAATGTCATTTTTCAGTTTCGATGTCTTCTTTTAGAATGATCCTGTCAGCATGATGGCATAATGACACTCTGCAGTCAATCAGCTTTGACTACATGCTTGCTGATATCACTGAAGGGGCAAAAAGGTCCATTCAGGCCTATGGTCTCCTTTCAAAGCCATCATCAAAAAAATTACCCAATGGGATAAACAGTAAGCTTGGCCAGTGGTAGATACCAGAATACTGGCACTATCAATGGTAAACAGGAACAATGAAAATGTCTCCAGTGAGGGGTACATGGAATTTGTATGAATGGTAGGAAGAAGTTGGGTTCAGTGAATAAATGCATCCTTACAATCTAAATGCATTTCATAAGGTAATGTGAAGGATAAGAAGTTTCCTTCTTATCTGGGAACATGAGAAAGTTCATGCACTGATTCTTAAGCATCAGTGTTTCTGCTTCAAAGCCATGCACTGGTTTATGTGAGGGTGCAAAGATAAAAAGCTGAAGAGGTTCACCTACTATGCTACATGCACTGATAAAAGCTCATGCTCCACTTGTTTTTCTCTGTTAGAAGATTAACAGCAATTATCTGAAATTGGTGGAGTCTTGTACTGATTAAAGCACTGCTTGCAACAGCATTAGTGAAAGCGTGCTTCAGCAAATTGATTTAAGCTCTCTTCAGGGGCTTTTCCCCCACCCCCTTTTCTCATTTAAAAACTCACAAACAAATAGGTATCTCTCTTGTTGGAATCTTTCCCATTTAAAACTCATTTTCCTGCAAAATAACAAACTGGCAGGGAAACAACTCCTTACTATTAGCTGTTCAAATACTTGAGAAAAGTCTTGATGCTTAATACAAGGCAAAAGTAGTAATACAAACCCATTATATCTCCGGTGAGAATCCCCGGGGAAAAGACTGAAAGTGTCTGTGAATTTCCTCAAGCATTACTTACATCCTGCCTGGACTGTTGTAATTCTCTCCATGTGTAAATAGTTTGGAACAGCAACTAGTTCAAATTGCAGCTGTCAAGATGCTGATAGGATCATGCTGTACAAACTTTTCTCCACTTGACATGTAGTGTGTGTGCATTATTCCCTATTAAGATGTTTCTGTGCTCTTTAAGTAATGCTGTAGTTTTGCTTCTCAGTCTAAAGAGCAAAGTTGCCAAGCTATTTTAGAGAAGGAAAAATATGGTATTATTTGCAAAAGTAAAAGAAAATACTCTTTTTATTTGCCTGTGTTTCCGTGCTTTTCCACTATGCTACAGTGCCAACTAGAGGCTACACAGGGGACAAGCAGGAAAGGAAATGCTCTTCTTGCAATGCTCAAATCTCAGTTCTGTAATGAAACTGAGTAAATGCACAGACTTGTATCGTAAAGCCCTATGCTAAACCAAGCCTGTATATGGTCACTATTTTTATTGCTTATATTATCAGTGGCATTTGGAAGGTTTTATTTGAAAACAGGGCTTGAAACAGTCAAAAAATAAGAACACAAATGAGGGGCAACTATGAAAACCTTAAAATATTTGAAGCTGCCTTTAAATTAATTATAGAATAGTAGAGTTGGAAGGGGACATGAAGGTCATCAGGTCCAACTTCCTGCTGTTGCAGGACACCAGTTTACACCATCCCACTCAGATGGCTGTCCAGTTTTGCCTTGAATGCGTCTAGTGTGGGAGAGACCACAACCCCTCTAAGCAACTTGTTTCACTGTTGTATTGCTCTGACAATGAGGAAAATTTTCCTGATATCTAGCCTGAATCTGGACTGTCACAACTTGAGTTGATTAGGTCCCAAGTTGACTTAATGCTATCTACTGTCTGTTTTGGAGGAGCACAATTTCTCTGTCTGAAGGCCAAATTAAATTTCATATCAGCTGTCTCTGTTAGTTTCAATCTATCTCTTAGAAGCCACAGCAGTTGAAGACTCCATGGAACTGAAGGTTGTGTTTTGCTTGTTACTTCCCTCATTCCTTACTCCAGACCAATATATTCCCAAAATCCTTTACTAAACTTGAATCCCCTTCACATATTTTTTCCCTTTTATTTGGCTGTTTTTTAAGGCTTGAGTGTAATCAGTGCTGCCAGCTATTACTTCACTCCCAACCATCCCCTTCCCCATTCCAGCCCTAGTAATGTTTGGTTTAATTTCAGTGTTATTTGTAGGTCTGTATGTATGACTGTAATATCTGTCTGCATTTTAGTCTGTCTGAGTTTTTTATTGTGGGTGCTCGATGTGACCGTTTTACAAACATACACAGGGGCAGACACACAGTTATGGCGTCATCAAACACTCCATCAATGCACATGTTCATTTATTTTAAGAAGAGTCATCTGCATCAAGGATGAAGTAGGAACATGGCAAAGTTCATTTGGGTCCCAAGGAAGTTTGCAGGAAGAGAGAGGCCTAGGAGACCACAGGGGTGGCCTGATCAATATTGTTTTAACATGTAGACACCATTGTGTGGTTAGAGGGTAAGAGCATGGGACTGGGACTCAGGTGATCTGAGTTCTAGTCTCTGCTCAGTTACCCAAATGGGTAACTTTGGGCCAGTCACAGAACCTTCGCCCAACCTACCTCACAGGGTTGTTGTTTTGGGGATAAGACTGAGAGCAGCAGGGGGAGAATAATGTAAGCTGCTATGCGTTCTTTAAAAAAAGAAAAGGCAGGATGTAAAGCTAATAAATAAATAAATTCCTAAACACAGCACCATTTATCTGAAATTGGGCAGAATTCAACCCATCTTAACGAAAAGGTTGTAGGCATTTCTTGATTCCCCTTCACACCAATTCTAATCAATAGGCAAGTGATGCTCAGCTTTGGATAATCTATCTGAACCAATAGGATCAGTTCTGACCCATTCTACCGCATGAGTCCTAGAATTGTCCCAGGATAAGTGTCCTCTTTCATTTCTGGCCCTGATTCCAAGACTAGCCTAATGGGCTGAGGTTAGGATCTTGGGTTGCCATTTGTAGTCTAGTTCCAGATCTTTTTCTGGCACAGGAATAGAGCCAGGGAATATAGAATTTCTCAGATCCTAGACTCTGCCCTTTTGTCATTTCAGCAGAATGGTAACTTCTGCGGTTGCACTTCCACCTGCAGCTCTGCTACCAGGTTCAATTCCAGTTACTAAAATCAGAGTAAGCAATGTTGACTCAAGTACTGATATTACCGATCTTAAATTTGACTTTTTAAGGTTTACAGTGAAAATTTGTCTGTCCTATTGGGTGCATATCCCCTAATGTATGCTTTGTTGTATACAACTTTTCCTAAAATATATTTTTTTGCAAACACTTTTCCTAACATAATGCATTTTGAAAATTATTTTCACAAATATATACATTCCTGTAATATATGCATAACAATAGGATTTAATAAAAGGAACTCACCTGCAATGGTGGGGAAATGTCGAGGTTGTAGGCCAATGCATTTGAAGGGTCAGAGGTTGCCCACTCTTGGCACAGAACACAGTAGCAGATATTCCTGAGTTCTCAGATTATTCAGAGTCATCCTCCACAAATCCAATGGGAATCAAAAGTCATTGCTAGGCATTCTGGAGATTGCTGGAGAAGACTTGCGATTTAGGGGTCCCAACTCCCCTCTGCCCCAGCCAGCACAGCCAGTGGAAGAATGCAATGATATCCCCTCCTCTACAAATAATCTGAAATGAGGCTGAAACATTGGGGTTGGGGATCCTGTCTGATGGTTCTCTCCTTCCTCACAGACTACAGCAAACCATAGGAAAACCACAGAAACGGGCATCCCTGCTTTTTTTTGGGTGCAGGGCTTTGCCATACTTATACCAGGTAGAAAATCCAATCCCAGTATCACCCATAGAAGTTTGGTGGATTGTTCTGTTCATAATGATGTGGGATGAAGCAAATTATTGCTCAAAAGATACTATTCAGGCTGCTGATGTGATATAAACAGGAAAAAGGTTAATTCATGTCAACCTCATTTGTAACTTGCTTTGGGTAAGTTTTCTAGGTGTTTGGTTGTTTGTTTCAGATCCGTTGGTTTTCACAGGATACTTTTAAAATCCCTTGGAAAGTTTCAAGCTGCATATTCTATCATATCCATCTTTTTTAGCATTATGTCAGCACTTCTACCTTAGAAGGAGACAAAACAAACAAGAAAGGTAATGACAAAGTTAGATCATTTAAATATAACGGAATCTTTCAAGTTTTGCTGTGAGTCATTTTGAAACCACTCTAGATAGAATGCCAGATATCCACATTCTTATCATAGAAGTCATAAATAATCTAAAATAAGAATTCAATATGAAATGTTTGGATTGTTCCCCTTTTATAGTTTTAAAAAGTAATGCAGAAGAGGGTATACTCACCAAAGCAAAATACTAACTACAAGTTGAAATAATCACTGCAAATCAAATGTTATTTAAGCTTTATCTCAAAACTAAAATTATCAACACATGCAAACAACCATAGGACCACTGGGAAGAGTTTTATATGGGGAACTGTGGAGGCAGGCAGGAATTAAATATCCTACTAGGGGAAGAGGCTGTCTGAGGAAGCTTTACAAATAGCTGAGGAAAGAAGGGAAGCGAAAGGCAAGGGAGAAAGAGAAAGATACACCCAATTGAATGCAGAATTCCAGAGAATAGCTAGAAGAGATAAGAATGCCTTCTTAAATGAACAGTGCAAAGAAATAGAAGAAAACAATAGAACAGGGAGAACCAGAGATCTCTTCAAGAAAATTGGAGATATGAAGGGAACATTTCATGC